CTACAAAAATAGTTAAATACAATTTTTAAAAACGGATAGTTCCCGATTCCCGAACATTTGATCCTCCAAAGCCCGGATTTGGGAATATTACTATTCTTTTTTTTTGCTTTCTTTTTTTCTGATGAATATAGTTTTACACTAACTATGGTACGTTTTCAAAATGTATGTGATTACTTTTTTTTTAAATGCCTGTAGAATTTGCGCGGTATTGCTTTTCTATTACAGGTATAGGTGTCCTTCCTTTGACCTAGTAGACATATAACAGGTCAAGGAATGCACCGCTACAGATGTAATACAAATATGTAATCATATTGCTTTGGCCATTGTGTATGCCGTTTGATGATAATGCTTCCTATGCGTAAATACGTATGTAGCTGCCTTAACATATGACTGTTTCAAGCGGAGTCCCCAAATTAATGTTATTTGCTTTTAATTGAATCCCTCCGTATATTGTTATACTGATTTTTACTCCTTGCTTTCTTTTAATCTGTACTTTTATCTATCCCAATAAAAAAGACTAAAAATCGCCCCCTTTTTGTTGTTCCTTAGTTTTGGAAGTCGCACATCACTTTCTTTACTAAACATGACTTCAACAACATTGTAAGATTTAGTTTTAAGACTTAGCATTAAATCTACTCATTGAAGGTAAACTCTATTGTTAAGAAAATATTTATTTTAAACAAGAAAGTGTCAACATAGTAAATTCGTGTTGTATAAAGCCTCAGGTGTGCCCAGGTGTACAGCACACCTGCAGATATATATCATATACATTCAATTAAGGAAATAAATAAATTTCATGGCCTATTTTCTTTCAGGAGACCTATTAAAACATGTCTTGTTCTGCTTATTTGGAGAATAGACCATGCATATTTAGGCAAATATCTACCATAACGGACATAAATCTCAGAACTGAAGTTTACTAAAAGATCGACTTTCGACATCTGACATTTTCTCGTTAAGCATAATAGCATACAAACTTTGCCAAATGCTAGTGTCCTTTGACCAACGTGTACAATTTACTTTGACGTATTATAACGTTAAAGCAACATAAAAATGAGTTAGTAGTCCAAAAACTAATTCTTTATACAAAGGTGCTGTTTTTTTTCTAAAACTGTCTGAATGAAAGACGGAGTATATTAATCAAATTTGACTTGACAAAGCTCACAAGTATAGGTACACATCAAAAACTTCAATTTCATAAATCTGCATGGTGAAAAAGGATGACAAGTTCCGCTTTTTTTATTTGTTCTTTTGAAACAATTATCAAAGGGTGCCCTGTCCTCAGTTCTTATGTCTCGTTATAAAGGAGTCTATATATTGTCATTGTGATAAGATGAGGGTTTTCCTTTCCAGACAAATTTGTAAAATTGTAATTTCGTTAAAAGTTAAAACTGAAAAATTCTGCCCTTAATGGAGAAAAATATGCATTGTACAGCCTTTCTTCTGTGGTATATTAAAAAAGTCTACCCTTTTCAATATATAAAGAGAATAATCACTTATCCTAAATTATATACTTGAAATAAACCCATGTGCTTTTTACCTAAACTCATGCAGCATTACAGAAACTGCGACGCGGCATGAACGGGTATAAATATATAGTTGATTTCTTTCATTTAAATGCATATGCTTTGTTGTGACAGATTGCTGGCATTTGTTGTTTGTACTATTATATCCCGTTTGTGCTATAGCTGCTTCAGCCATTGGTAAAGGGGTTAAATATTGTTATTGAAGTTCTGGTTGGTTCCTTTGTGTTCTGAAATCATTACACTTACTTTGAAAACCACAAAGCTGTCACTGCTCTAACATCTATAGTGCTACATTGCCGTCGTCATCTTTATTGCATTGATGATGTGTTCTTACTCTTGGGACATTTTTAAGAGGCTGGTATTTGTCGTTACATTGCGTAAATGTTCTTACTGTCCACTATCTTCAGAACCGACCCGGTCTTCTCGTGCTCTCCTCGAGTGCGGGATGTCGTGTGTTAGATCCCCGAATACGTAAACTCAAAGACTTAAAAAAATAGTATTTACTGCTTCCCCGCTAAGCACGCGGCACTTAGGAGTAAGAACACACTGATCGGTCGGCTCGGGAAAGGAATATTGTGTCCGGGTAGAATGAAATGTGTTTCAGCCGGACTGTTCCCATGTAAACACCAGTTCTTCAGCATCATCCACAATCATCATATTTTCATAATACATGCACCTTTAAAAACACGGTGGCATGTGTTCTTACTATAAAAACGGTACGTGTTGATGATTTACAACCATGCATATAGGTGCTTTATGCCCAGATGGACCAATGGCTTACAACAGACATGAACTACCAAAATAACAAGACATATCATCTGAGACTACTATAACACGCATAGAGTTATATTAGTCTCAGATATCAGATATCATATATACATAAAGAAATATATGACAATAAGATATCATCTATTGATCAAAATAGAAAACTTTTTTGTTGAAGCATATAAAAACTGAATATAAACAAGAATTTTATTTGACATACCCTAATCATGATACATGAAAACTTATATGCAAATTCAGAATTAGTATTATAGTATTTCCTCGCTATTGAAACTGGAAGATATAAAAATATTCCACGCCCCCAAAGACTTTGTAATAAGTGCAAAGTTATGGATGATGAATCCAATTTCTTTTTACTATGTAAAATAAATAATGATTTAAGACATGTCTTTTTTAACGATACAAAAATTTTTCAGATAATAAAATGCTGAAGTATATTCTAAATCCAATTTTACTAGTCACCAAGTGAAATCTTTAGGCTCCTTTATTAAACAGTCTATGGAACTGAGGACAGGGGGCACTGGAGTTCATTCGTTATGAGTGTAATTTGTGCTTAATAAAGTATTAACACAATACTGAGATCCTCATTACAAATGTTTTAAAAGTATACAGCTTTGAAATAGTAAGAACACGATGTTTCGCATAACTGTTCTGTGCACGATAACGTCTGCTTAGATGTATTCTTATGCTCCTGACTCTGCCGTGAAGAATGCGCAGGGACTGTTTACATGAATAATCGCAATAAAAAACATCTTCACAAGTAGCGAATGATACGCTCAGCCACCAATGACTGAATAATACGCCCGTCGACAAATGACTGAATGATACGCCTGTCGACAAATGTCTGAATTATACGCACGTCGACAAAAGACTGAATGATACGCACGTCGACAGATGACTGAATGATACGCACGTCGACACTTGACTGAATGATACGCCCGTCGACAAATTTCTGAATGATACGCACGTCGACACATGACTGAACTCGGGTGCTTTTGAAGCGTTATATTGTTTCAACAAGATTGCTCCCCACACGTGTATTTATCTCTCATTGACTGCCACAATGTGTGGCTTGGCATGGTTATGCTTGATTTCTGACGTTTCAGTCTCGTTGAAATCTCGTTCTGGAATTATTTCCAAAACATGTGATACAAGTGGAAAATATCAATGAATTTAAAAATATTATAATGAAACTTAACTCTGTTAAAAAATTGTGTATTTACAATAAGTAGCTTTTAAGTAATAAAATTTTCAAATTTTATAACCAATCTCATTAGCCAAAATGTTGAGAAGATGGGAGGGGTATAAGAAATGATTTTACCAGAAACTATGATGGACATCCCATATATTTTTTTTCTTTTCAAATTTCTTAGATATGTTTTTTTTTTCAATCATTTATAACAAAGAAGTTGAAATAATATGCTTTTTGTTCTAAAAAAAAGAGAAAAATCCCAAATTTACAAAATTGACAGCCGATGGCAAATTTGACACGAAAAAGCAACAAAATTTTATAAAACTTTCTTATATTAACACCTACCTGTAGTTTTTTTAAGTTAAATTTATTCAGATTGGTCCACTTCATCTTTAGTGAAAGTATGAAAAAAAGTTTAATTGTGAAACTGTGATTTTTTTCATGATAATAGCCCAAAAATGGATAAAAATTGATGAAAAATGGGAAAATCATCAAAATTGGGCACTTTCAAATGGCCGTATCAAAAAAGAAGTGCATCACCATATGATTTTGTCTTCACCAATTATTTTTGTACAGTCATATATAAACCCAAAAATCAGGTTAAGAAAAAAAGTTTAATTCTAGAAATTTTAGGCTCCTCAGAGGTGTACATCCTTAAGGGCGCAGTGAAAGAATCAAAACACGATAATTTGATTTATTTTCACAGCTATTCTTTCAGCAATAATGCAAAACGAGAGACTTTATATTCTGAACACAAATGAATTGATACAACGCGTTAAAAACTATCATTGAAAATACATTGTTTATACGTATACAATGTACTGTTGATGACTCGTTCTCACTGACTCAGACACAGTGAGAATGAAATGAGTTTCTTCTTCAAAAGGCATCCAAAGTGAAGGAAGTATCGTGTGCTCCAATAGGTAAGAATTTTATATTATTGTGTTATACCAACTGTAGGTCGCCAACACTTGTTGTGTTCTCACAACGGACAATTTGTTGTTCTGAAAGACGGCACCATCTTAACTAGTCGTAATACTAGTACTTTACATATCTTACTGGTTTGTTCCTATGTACTTATATTATTAAAACTGCATAACAGGTCTTATACATGTTAATATAGACATTGCCATAATACTGGCACATTTTTACACAAAACATTGCCAAAGCATCACATAGTGCCGTTGGTATGATATATCAGTACTCCATAAATTCTATAAGGCAAAGGTTGCATACTAGTACACACAAAAAGCGCTTGTAATATATGTTATCCTAACAGGCACCATCAGAAAACAGACGTGTTCTATTCAGATGTTCATGTTGCTACAGTTTATGTCACACTATATGATTTGTTTTTATTACGCAGCCATTATCGGCATACTGACAACTGCTTTCTCAACAGCCTGTTCTTGTAACGCTAATATGCAAATGTGTTCTCATACACAATTCATGGTCAAGTGTTTCCATAGACGTTGCAGTATGCTTACGTGTATTTTCAGCAAGAGGCGGATAAGGTAGTAGTGTATAGCGATACTGGTGTAACAAGAATAGGACGAATGAATGCAGCAAATGGACGAGAGAAAAGAAAATGTGACAGAGTAAGACAATGAGAAATAGAGAGTATAAAGAGACTACTAACTTCCAATCCCCTCTTTTTACATACTTTTGTCACAATTTTGATATATTAGTATATTATTGGTGGCATTCTTATAGCGCTAATATGTTTATGTCGTGATTTACAAGCATTCTCACGACGACAATTGTTGAAGTTCTTGTTCCAATCCTTGTATAGGGCGGACGTTTTCGTTTAAGCCAGTTCTCCGTTTTATATTGCCACGTTTTCTAACAGAAGAAGTATAAAAAATATAGGCATATGTCTCGCAATTTTTCAAGTAAGATAACTGTGAGCTTAGCGACATAATCTTATAATAAGCTGTAAAAAATGGCAGTTTTAAATGTATTACAACGTTCTGGAATTAGCAGGTCACTTTAATTTGATTTCGGACAATCACCTGCAAATAAAAAAATTGATATCAGTATGACAATTCCAGAGAATCTTTTGAATCCTTTGACTGATACAGATCAAAAGTTACAGAAAAGCAATTCTTCAGAGTTGTCGTTTGGCGATTTGTCTTAGACATCCATCAGTTGGAAATCGGAATAATATTAAATTCATTCTTTCCGTTGATGGTTAATTTTCCGCACCATTTCTTCATCTTTAGAAGCAATTCTAAATATCATGAATTTAAATAAAGTCACTTCTTTATGGAAAATGTTCGTGATAAACTGATTACATAATGAAAGTTTAGTAATTTGAATGGGTCTTTGGGGAACGGACTTTCTTAGAAGCTTGTTCAATTACAGTTTTGCAGATCGTAAAAAAGCCAAATAGCCATTTCATATCAACGAACTGAAAAATTATGTATTCAATTCGAGATTACTTTATCGGCAATATTTCCACAAAATAAATGGAATGAGAGAGGAGTACAAAGAAATTGCTTCTCTAATTACTACAAAACTGATCATCTATCGGGGTTGTAATCAATGGCGGTTGACAACCCTATGATTCTCTTGTGACTCAGTTTTCTATCACTTCTGTCAACCCCAGATTCTGAAGGCTCAGTACAATATAATCCTGTTTTTGACAAAGTCTATTAGCTAATTAATCAAAGAACAAGGAATGTTTGTTCAATCCAGAACTATTTCAACATTTTTGTCATCTTAAGTAATTTGACCATTCGAACAACAACAGGACCGGTAACAGCTAATATAGTCTGAAACATTAGAAAACTTTCTGAATTAGAGGGATTTCATGTTATTTCATTTGTGTTTTGTTGATCATTGTTTGCTTAACGTCTCGTGGCAAATATTACATGCATGTTCAGAGCGAGAACAAATCAACAATAATTCAAACAAGACCAGTTCCTGCAAAATGGTTCATCATAACGAAGGGCAAAACTTCCGACTACCACTGGAAAAAAAAGTAAAATAACAAAAATACCGAACTCCAAGGAAAATTCAAAACGGAAAGTCCCTTATCAAATGGCAAAACACATCAAACGAATGGAAAACAACTGTCATATTCCTGACTTGGTACAGGAATTTCCTTATTTAGAAAATGGTGGATTAAACCTGGTTTTATAGCTAGCCAAACCTCTCACTTGTATGACAGTCGCATATAATTCTATTATAATGACAACAATGTGTGAACAAAACAAACAGGGAAAATGTCAAAAATGAAAATGAGGGGATGTTGGAAATATATAGGGCCTGAAATGTTTGTCCACCAACAGATCATGCACCTTATAACCCTACAAAGAGTGGTTACAATGGGTTTCTTTTAACGTGCAGAGAGCATCGCATTCTCCCTGTACACGAAGTTTTGTTAACGGTTTTAACGTTTCGATTCCGTTCGGACGTTGCTGTGTATTTATAAATCCTGCACAGCAAAAACGGACGACAAGTAAAGGGATGTGGGGTATACGTTAATGAGAAAGCAAGTAAAAAATTCGGTGATAAGTCGCAATTGGTACATGATGTCACAATCTTGACAAAGATAACCCTAACGGTCGACCAAATCATGATGGAATCTGTAAAACTTTCGAAGAGATGACTTCAGCTTTACCATTAGTAACCCTTGGTTCAATAAATCTTCCTTGTAAGCAGCAATCGGCCTCTTTCGAGGAAATCATGATATGAGACGCAAGTTCTGGAATATCCTTTAATAGAAAATTCACATTTGAAAAGCTGAAATTATCTCTTTTGTCATAAAGTTTGGTTCTCAATCTACCCTCAGTGTCAAATTGTAGATGTAAGTTAAAATATGAAGCATATCGTTGAGAAAGATGTGTTCAGCAAACTTCGGATTATTTATTGAGAGGATGTCAACTATATAGCGGATCGTGATCCGTTAAAAGATAATGCTAGTTTCTGTTCATTCTTCCCGAGAAGCTCCTGTACGAAGTCTTGTCTCGTATGAATGAAGAACAATGATTCGACAAGAAGAGGAGCACAGTTTAAAACCATTTGTTTCTACAGAAATGCCGATTGTCTTTTATCCGTGTGCGTGAAATGGACTCAGAACTCGATCTTTCAATTCTTCTGAATTTCTCAATTCTGTGTAGTTTTGTGTCTTACCAAGTGTATATAGATGTGCATTATAAGGTTTTAAAGTTTTGAAGTTTTTACATAAGAAGTTTTATTCTTTCCGGGTCAATATGTTCGTCCAAGATATAGGTCGGGGAAATTTGGACTGCCACTGGAAAATTTATTGGATATGGACAGAAATTTTGCCTTGCACTAGGCCACCTACGTAGAGTTGTCGCAAGGTTTCTTAAAGAGCGTGGCACTCTCTTTTCACGAAGCATCACGAGAAGACCTATAAGAGACCATACTTCTATTCAGTCCCCTTTGAGATCATCGAATAGGGAGACTGTAATGCTTTCTGTATGTTAAAGATCCGTTATACTACAACCATTTGAGGGGTTTGTAGGTGACCCGTTGCAAGGGAAAAAATATCTCCTCTTTCCAATTGCTCTGTAAATTTCCAGCAAGCATTCAGCCCGGTCGACCCACGATCCCTTCGTGAATATGCATGAAATATTTGCCACTGGACTATAAACAAACAACAAAGAAACAATCCATCCTTTATTCATAAGTATTTGAAGCCTTTGCAATTGGTTATGTTTTGAAATTTGTCAATTTAATGAATAAAAACATAAAATTATTTATTTAATAGCGGTTGGAAAGTGTTTCTGATATCCACTCACACCAAGCCTTGGAAATATTTCGATTATCTGTTTCCAATCGTCGAGAAAAAATTGTCCGTAATCAAATTGACTCAAAAGCAATCAAATATTGTATGGTTTCAATTTGAAATATAAATCGTGAATTTACTTATATTGTGACTATTACTTTCTTCTCGTGGAGCGAAAATTATCTTACAGGATTTGTGTAAAAAAAGCATTAATGAATAATTGGTAAAGTAGCTTTTAAGAACATTACACACAAAAAAAAAAGAGAGTTGTTCAGTAAACTTCATAGCAATAATATTTATCATATTGTATATTTATTCTGGTACCGTAGCTTAGCCTTTTATTTTAGTTTAGTTAAATAGTTAAAAATATTTACATGTGTAATTTATGTTTTGTATAACTTTTTCCTTTTTTATGCAAAACAAAAAAAAAGACAGGTAGACGTTTGTTTTGTTTTTCCTGAGATGTCTTTGTAGCACCATAGCTTGCATGGCATATCCATTTTATCGTTACCAGTGTATTTTCTGGAATTTCATTGCATGCTAGCTGGCATCTATCTTATTACCTGAACATACAGTTCCATTGTATTAAAATGATTTTCGCAATTTTTAATTAAAATTTCCCAGTTACTAGCAAAAATTTTAAAACATATTTTACACGTCACCTATGTGTCAAATGCAATGAACTGTAAGATGAACGAACTGTGTCAATCGACGATGAGTGACATATGACCAGTTATTAAATTAAATCAATGTCTCAACTTGTCACAGTAAATAATTATATAAGAAAGGCTTAATTTTAAAGTGTATTATAGATTATTTAACGTTCAACAAAAGTACCCGTTAAAAAAAAGTCAGAGAAATAACAAGGTATCTTATTTTATTAAGTGACTTCTCCATCATTTTTTTTTTGTAGCTGTTGGGTCCCAAATTCGAGAAATGTCTTTCTGTACTTGAAAATTTAAAGTAGAAATCTTCATTTTCTGTTTAATTAAATTTTTGTATCAAAATTCTGTTTTATGTTAACTATTTCCATGCACATAATTGGGCAAATAGTAGCAAATTTCACACCTTCGGCGATGATTGACACAAACTAGTGTTAAAGTTTATTTTTGCATTATCTAGAAGTTAAGGTTCAATTTCCCAAGTGCAAAACCCTCTCATATTATCCAATCTTTTTCAAAGCATTTATTTTTGTCTGCTATCAAAATTTGACAGCTGAATTATCTTGATATGAATATTGCTATCTCGGACCAATGAAATTTCAGAAACGCTCTGATAGTGTTAGAATTACATGGATTGTCCCGCCCACTGACCCATTTCGTTGTTGAACTGTTATATCGTAGATCAGTTTGTGGATTATGTGTTCGTTGAACAGATAGCAAAATGTGCTAATTAATCAATTAATTTCATGGAATTTACATAATTAGACAATTGAATGATAAATACAAGATGTAATTCTGTATTAATGATGTAGTTTTGAAGCGACTTGTGAATGAAAACGTTGGATTTTTAAGTGACATTCTTTTGCTCAATTTCAGTGTTGTGACGAGCCGTTTTGGTGCTGAGAAGAATTGGAGTATATTTCACCCTGTTGTTCACGAATGGAAGGGTATGGGTATCGAGCGGTTCTGCTACCCACCCAAGCCCCCGATTTGCAGTTGGTTTGCAGCATTCATTTTACTAATTTATATTTCATTAGGTAAGTTTTATTATCGGACTCCATTTTCCACAATAACTTTGGTCAAATCAAGGGGGATAAACGTGTAAAAAATAACACGGTTACTATACACATGTGTAATAAAACAATAAACGAAGTTATCTTTGATGTTCAGGTGTCTGTGTATTCTAAGAGCAAATAAACTGTGATTAAAAATTTCGAATTAATCTTAAAAGAATAAACTGTATACGTGTAATTGGGTTGCCTAAGTCGTAGCAGGTGCCCCCTAATTAATAAACAAAAAAAATGTGTATAACTAATATACAAAAACTAATTTCCAAAATTTGCATGTGTATAATCAATATATAAAATGGATATGGAAAATATAAATGCAAAGTTTGGAATTTAAATAATACTATATCATAATGAATAAGAAATTGATAGTAATTAAACAAAATGGTTTTTTATCATCATCACCAAAATATGTTAGCAGGGATTTTTATTACTAATGATTTGATTGTCTTTTATCAAATATCTGCATTTTGATTTTTAATTCAGTCTCAAATAAAAGCAAAATAAAAATAGCAAACATGTGTAATGTAGCAACCCATGTCGCAGAGAGTTTACTTCATTAAATCTAATAATTTATTTGACAAAATATTTTACATGTACATGTATATATATATATATCATATATATTTGAATTTTCAAAATATTTTTGTGTGTTTTTATTATATCAAAAAGATGTTGTTTTATAAAACATTTTTATGCAACTGATATGCCTATTAATTATCCTAAAAAATCAAAACAGAACAGACAGTTGATAGAAAGGAAACAAAATGCACAACAACATACTCCTACTGGAGATTTCAACTGCTAATAAGGGTACTCCCAAATTGGTCACATTCAGTATTCATCCTAAGCACAGTGAATTTCAAGAAAACTTTGGAAGATCATGTATCGATCCCTACCAATTCTATGGTGTAAATAAGAAGAACATTTTGGTGTTGTCCCCTTGAAACTTCTGTAAACATATAAAAATAAAAAAAATTGGGGTAGATGTACATAAGATAATTCTCAAATACATTCATAAATAAGGGAAACATGATATAGGATGCTGATATATGCAATAAATATTTATAAATTTTAAACCTAAAGGAGTAGACAATTTTCTCTTTGTGACCATGAAGTAATAAATTGATGATCTTAATCAGACTTAATGTCCGCCAAAAGTTTAATGAATTATCATTATGTTGCATTGTAAGATGAGCATAAAATTGCTTTTGCATATCTGTTCCATTGTATGTGATTCATTTTAATATGCACCTAACATAGTCACGTGAACCCAATGAAATTTACAACTGTATAGTCAATCAAAGCAAAATGATGTTGCCACTTCATGGAATGAATATATTGTGTCAATGTTGAATACCACAACATTTGACAATCTCTTTTCTAATCATTTCCAGGATTTCACTCAACTGATATATACATCACTTGTGGTGCAAAAGGCTAGCAACAAAGAAATTTACTAGTCCACTAAGTTAGATAAGCAACAATGATTGATTCAGACAATTTAATAACTATATATTGTCTTGATTGTTTGTGATAACTGATTATGGTTCAAAGGTCTTAAGTCTTGACAATTTGAGCCAATTTGAAGTTTAAGTAAATAAAGTAGTTTTTTTTTTCTGATTTGTAGGCTGTGTATATTTTTTTTTTTATAATTTGGTCAGTTCACAGTTTTTTAAGTCAATTATTTTTTATTCACATGAAGGGCTACATCTCTGCAACTCTGAAAAAAATAATATTTAACCCTAGAAAAAATTCCATACATGTATGTATTCTAATCAATATGTCATGTTTGTTTGTTTGAATATTGGGAAGACTTGTCCTATGGTACCATTCACCACCAAGAGTCAAAAATGATTCTGGATGTTTATATGTCATGTATGTTGTTTTAATTGATTACCATTTAATCATGATTTTGTGATATCAAGATATTTGCTCTCAGGTAGACTTTTGGTATATTTAAGCCATATAATTTTCAATTTAGTTTTTATTTGAATGTGGTAGTCATTTTAATGGTCTAAACCTTCAAATTCATCTTTCAAATGGTCAGTTTAACAAAAAACATATTTTTGTTAAATGGTTAAATTCTACAACAGAGTTCCTGAAATAGTTTTTTCCCTGGTGATCCTTGAAGAAAATCTGGTGGTCCTCACTATTACTTCTATTGCAAAATACCAAAATTGTGTCAGTCCTGTGCCAGATTTTAGTGGTCAAAACCTTTGGACCACCACCTTTCGAGAACTCTGCTACAAAAAAAAACACTTGGATGGAATACATGTTTTTTTAAACAACTTGGAGCTGGGTCAAACTGTGGCCCTAATAGGCATAATTTGCATTAGATTAACTGATTTGTTGGGTAGGCCATAATTTCAGTCATAATTTGCTGGGTAGCTGTCTGAAGAGGTCCTTTAATGCAAAGCTTTGTTTTTTTTTAAACCATTAACAATGATTAAGCAAAAGTTTAATCCAAGAAGACCAACTATTAGACTAGATATTGCTCATAGAACTGATTGATATACATGTACATGACAGTATTGTAGCTAAGCTTGATAACAAAAATACCAAGGTACTATTGGCAAAATATAGTTACTGAAGTAAGTTGTACTTTACCATAAAATTTGGAGCATTAACCATAGTTACTTAACATGCTTAAGTAAATTGTGGTATATTTTCCTACATGTAGCATTATACCATTTATACTGGGTAGGACTTGTAAATTCACTGTTTTATGTAAAAGAGTACATGGAGTAGATGGATGTATATTTACCGTTCCATATACAATAAAAATAATTCATTTTCAACAAATTCTTGCATACTACATATAAATTATAAGCCTGGTATCTTTGATCAGCACTTTTTTTTTTCTATCAAAATATCTAATAGGAAGCACATAATATTGTTTTGGCCTAAGTAGTCATGTAAGTGCACATGGTGCAAAGAGTGGGAAAAATGCATTAACAGCCATGACAGCTGTGATGATTTTATATTATTTATTTTCCTATAATTCTTCATTTTATTACATGTATACATTGTATATTAATATATTAACTATTTCATTTCTTTCTTTATCTACAACATATATACAAACAACAGCTGTTTAGCAATTACATTTTTACTTAACACAAATAATTTTTTAATATTCAATATATCAGAATGCTTCAGCAAAAAAAAAAACACTGCCGCTGATGTAGGTTTAGTTTTACCCACCTGCCCATGTCACCAAAAATTAAAAATTAATTAATGGAAATTTCAAATGCTGAGACAATAAACAAAGTTTGTTTCTTGTTTCCTGGAAAAACTGCTTGGCAGGTCAAATGTATTTGTTTACTTTTGAAAAACATTTTACATATGTTTAGCACTTTCAATGATTCATAACTAAAGATTTCCTTAAAAACTTTAAATAGGTGTTAGGAAAGGCACCAACGTAAAGGTATGTGGAGTAGTAGCACTCATGGTAATGATTCTTCACCTTGAACATTAATACTGGCAGGCATGGTGATAACCGGTGTTTTGTTCTGTAATATCTCTCTATATCCCATACGTGTATAAAGAATAAGAATATTTATTGATCCTATTAAGGGCCCTTGATGGGCAGCAAGACGTTTATACTAATAGAACAATACACTATGATTTTGGTAAAAAAAACCACCCCAAAACATATATATATATATACCTACATCCTTCCATTTAGAATTTAGATGTTTTTTGGTTTTGTATGTCTTTGAATTTCTGTCTTATTGACATATACCCAGCATCATCTATTATTTATATGTACAAATGTAGGTTATATATGACAGGTCTACAAACCAGTGTTATTATCTTCAATCACCAGCAATCACTCAGTTTTACAGTGAATCTTTCAGCACCACCAAGAGATTGTTTTTACTGAATCATGCCCTGTACTTTGTAGTATATTATTTTATCAGCAACTGAAACATGTGCACAAAATTGTATAATATACCACATGTGAAGTTGAAATCATATGCAGATTTGGGGGGAGGGGGGTCTCGGAATATTTACATGTTTTACTCCTTACATTGTCTTTTTATTTTGAACTGAATACCTTATGTGTACTTTAAACATATATAATGTAAATTTTGATTTATTGATAAAAAATTAACCAACAAACGCAAAGATTTTTTATGCCCCAGTCGTAGCGAAGGGGGCATTTAGTTTTACCCTTGTCCATACGTCCGCAGACATGTGACAGAGGTGTCAAGCCACAACTGGAGATTTGGAAATTTTCAGCTGGAGTTTGGGCCTCATAACTGGAGATTTTTTATCGACATCTTTATCGACGTACGCGATGGGTTTTTTTGGTGTTTAAACTGCATATCTTCCTTTTTGGTTAATGATTCTATACATTTAAACACCTGCATAGCCATTTTTACTTGATAGAAATAGAAGATAAGGGGTTTTCAAATATTTATTCATTATATATAGTTCAAGGTAAATTGATCAGCCATCATATATAGTTGGCAAAAAGTACCTCTGCTTAAGCTACATTGTCAACTTTGGTACCACTACTGAACAGTGGTGTTGAATTGGTAAAGTTGTGGGCTTTCTGATGGGTAGCTGTCGCCATATGTTTGGTCAAGTCATTAGGGCCAGCTTTGCAAGAAGTGTAGCAAGCATGGTCTTGACCCTTGGTACTGGACTTGCAACATTTGAAATCAGATCTCCAGTCAGAGTTAAATTTGACTAGATACTTGGTCTTTTTTAATTTGCTCCTGGGGTATTTGGTGATAGCATACGGTTTGCATTTTGTCAAATTATAAAATTTTAGAATTGTCCAAGACAAACATACTTATAAAGGTATTCCATTGGCTTGGATAGGAAACAAGCCATAAATATCACATTTGAGTTGATTTCATTTGTCTTTTGAGGTTCAGAGCAGTAATATAATGTAACTGTTCAATGTTTTCAACAGCATCAAATTAAAGTCGTTGTTTATACAACTTAATCCATTGTCAGTATTTCACTTTTAATCATCCAGGCGTGTGTCTTTAACTAGCTAGTTGATCACCAGGTAATTTCAATCATCTTTTATTGTTGTATATACAGTCTAATCCTAAACACCTTCATTGATTACTGCACTAATTACCTGTTTACCTTTTGACACAAAATCAATAACAGGAAATGGTGACTTCCGTTTTTCTCGGACTTTTCCGATATCAATTTTGAGTTTCTCGGACCTTTTCTCTGTCAGTATCAATTTTGTAAACAAAAATGTCTACTGAAAATTTTTCGAGGTTGACATTTTCAAAAAGCGGAAGATTTCAAATTTTAACGGGAGGGACGGAAGAGGGTCTGAAAAGCGGGAGATTTTGACTCCCGCCGGAAGAATCACATGTATGCGTCCGTCCGTCCGACCGTTCTTCCCAAAATTGGTTTCCGTTCTCTAACTTTAGTTTGCCTAAACCAAATGTTATGAAACTTATACACAATGCTAATTACCACAAAACACAGATCAAGTTTGAATTTTGGTGGTGTCACTTTTACCGTTATATAGTTATGCCCCTTTACAATTAGAAATATTGCTGAAATTTTCGTTTCCATTCTCTAACTTTAGTTTGCCTCAACCAAATGTTATTAGACTTATACACAATGCTTATTACCACAAAACACAGATGAAGTTTGAATTTTGGTGGCGTCACTTTTACCATTCTAGAGTTATGCCCCTCTACAAATGGAAATATTGCTGAATTTTTCGTTTCCGTTCTCTAACTTTAGTTTGCCTCAACCACAGGTTATGAAACTTATGCACAATGCTAATTACCACAAAACACAGTTCAAGTTCGAATTTTGGTGGCGTCACTTTAACCGTTCTAGAGTTATGCCCCTTTACAAATGGAAAAATTGCTGAATTTTTTGTTTCGTTTCCTTTCTCTTACTTAAGTTTGCCTCAACTAAATGCTGTGAAATGTATACACAATGCTTATAACCACAAAACTCAGATCAAGTACAAATTTTGGTGGCGTCACTTTTACAGTTCTTGAGTTATGTCCCTTTATAACATTATATGCAAATGGGGGCATCATCTGTGTCCCATGGACACATTCCCCATTTATTTTTTACAAAAGATTGCAGGGCATGCAAATACATAGATGCACACAAATATATATATACACACATTTATAAACAAGTCTAAATTGAAAACAACATTCAAACCTATGATTGCGTTGGATAAAAACCACAATTTTTATAAGTGTGCATACACACATTTATAAATATAAAAAGTAATGATTGCTTTTGGCAAGCCTTACTCAGACAGTAGTCTTTTCATATTTGTAAGTTTTTATTGAACAGTTTTATTATTTTGATGTTTTATATTTTCAGGTTCAGCATGTGATATTGTACATTGTCAAACTTTATTCAGTTCAGCAAAAGATGCAGAGAAATCCACAGAAATAAAGAAATTAGCTGCCTTACAGAGAGAATCTCCTCGCTGTATCTCTCTCAGGACATACATAGACTGTTTAGTAAAGCAGAAACGATTCTGTCATTCAGATATCACTTTTAATGGAAATTTAGCGGGTTTAAAAGCAAAAATGAATAGACATAAATGTTCTGCTGATCCAGAGGCATCGATATTTGATCCGGAAACAATGCAGGTTACTGGTCCTCGCCCACCAAGTGTTGATCGTATGTGTTCATACAGTGGAAAACCAATATATAAACAATGTGGATTATTTGGTGATCCCCACTTGCGAATGTTTAATGAGGAATTTCAGACTTGTAAAGTTGAGGGGGCTTGGGCATTAGTGGATAATAAACATTTAACTGTTCAGGTCACAAATGATCCAGTGATTAACAGTGGAGATGCAACAGCAACTAGCAAGGTAATTTATAAACATTAAGTACCCACATGACATGTTTACAAAGAGATATGAAATATAAGGAACAACTGACCTGAAATTTTGGGAAGATCCTTTGTGGACAATTATTCCTAATCAAAAATCGGGGGGGGGGGGAATAGTGGGATTATTTACATGTAGGTAAAAGGTATTTCTATACTATAAGCAGACAATTTTCTGAATTTTGTTGTTTCAAAAGAAATAGTTCTCATTTGGAATGGTCTTCTAGATACAGTTTTGTATACTAGAAAAAGTCTATGTTAGTGCATAAAGGTACATGTAACCTAACTTGAAATACAGTTATAAATATTGTTTTACTTTTTTATGCCCCCGCCGTAACGGAGGGGGCATTAAGTTTTACCCTTGTCCGTCTGTATGTACGTACGTACGTCCCAAAGTTGGTTTCCGTTCTCTAACTTTAGTTTGCCTCTACCAAATGTTATGAAACTTATACTCAATAGTTATTACCACAAAACACAGATCAAGATTGAATTTTGGTGGCGTTACTTTAACCGTTCTAGAGTTATGCCCCTTTATAAATGGAAAAATTCCTGAATTTTTCGTTTCCGTTCTCCAAATGTTATGAAACTTATACACAATGCTAATTACCACAAAATACAGATCAAGTACAAATTTGGGTAGCGTCACTTTTACCGTTCTTCAGTTATGTCCCTTTATAACTTTAAATGATATGCAAGCGGGGCATCATCTATGTCCCATGGACACATTCCCCATTTATTTCTCTATGTTTTGAAGTTTTTGCACTAATGTTTTATAGTATTGAACAACAGCATGTATTTCTTTATTTATTACATTACTTAATGAAATTTAGAAGTGAAGTTGATGATATTCAAGAATAAAACTAAAAGATTGATAACTGTTTGCTTTATGTCAAAGAATTCATGATTTTTTAATCAACGGAATGCTTGTTTTCATTGTGAACATTCTTTGATATTTGCCTTGTTATTTGGTATTGGACATTATATTGGATCCACTTTGTTGGTTTTGGTATTCTGTCATTGCAATATAATTGAATTACATGCTTTATAAGGATTGATTTTTATAACATTTGTTTTTAATGTAGCTTTAATTTCGATCTTCTGATTTGGATGAAAAGGGAGGAGTGTATCCTCACAAAACTATATTCCCCCTGCAGCATGAATGTGTACATTTTTACCTTCTAAGTGTCCAATCCGTGTCAGGAATCTTTTCACTGGCTGCTGTGCATGCAGTTTCAGTATTTTATTTTTTTTAAATTTTTGATGTCACACATCTTTATCCTAACTGTTGATTTTTATACACCCGTTTACGGGACGTATTATGGTATACCTCTGTCCGTCCGTCCGTCGTCAACATGTCGGACTTTAACTCAAAAACGCTTTAACCAATTTGCATAAAACTTTGATGAATTGTTTATATCTATTGACGTGAGCTCCCTTTCGTTTTTTATAAATTTTAGATTTTACGTTTCCGAGTTATGCGGTTTTATTCATTAAAAAAAAGGGATTTTCCAGTTTTCGGACAATAACTCAAGAATGCTTTCACCAACTTGCAAGAAATTGTGGTGAATTGTTTATATCTATTGACATGAGCTCCCTTTCGATTTTTATATATTTTAGATTTTACGTTTCCGAGTTACAGGGTTTTATTCATAAAAAAAGGGGAATTTTCCAGTTTAGTTTCAGGGTTTTATTCATAAAAAAAGGGTGATTTTCCAGTTTTCAGACAAAAAATCAAGAATGCTCTCAGCAGTTCTCATGAAACTTTGGTGAATTGTTTATATCTATTGATGTAAGCTCTGTTTAGAATTTTATAAATTTAAGATTTTACATTTCTGAGTTATGGGGTTTTATTCATTAAAAAAGGGGGGATTTTCCAGTTTTCGGACAATAACTCAAAAATGCTGTCAGCAATTTTCATGAACTTTGATGAATTGTTTATATCTAGTGATGTAAGCTCCCTTTACATTTTCATAAATTTCTAATATGACATTGAGAATTAATTGAACTTTATTTGTTTATAGTCTGACAACAGATTTACTAAGTATTGCGCAACAGCACAGTGTATTGCACAACAGCAAGAAATCTTTAATTGAATATAAATTCAATTCATATAACCAATTTCAAGTTCTTTGACTACATTTATTCAGAAACCTATAATATGTCAAATATTTAATTACAATCCAAATTCAGACCTGTATCAAGCTTGAATATTGTGTCCATTTTTGCCCCAACTGTTCATGGTTGGACCTCTGCGGGCGTATCCAGCTGTGCTCAGCGAAGCAGTTTTTTTACACTTGTTTTAAGACTTATGTAGGAGCTTTACTGCTTGTCAAATGGTGCAGGTTTAACTATTGTAAAAAGCCATACAGTGACCTCTAGATGTACACATTGGTTAAGTTGTGTTGTTGAATTGCTGTCTCTTTCACAATTTTATAACCTCTGTTTAGTGTTACACATTTTCATTCACAATCTTTTAACTGCTGGCTAGTCAAGTTTATAAAATTTTTATATGAATTGAAGTAAAATTGTTTTATTTTAATTTTCTCTTGAAGCATGTTCATGTATTTTATAACCAATAGGCATGAGACTTTCACATTTAATTTCCATATGAAGTTTTCAATAAGATGTATTTTAAGATTTGCCAAGTGCAAAAACATTAACACTGAGACTCAGATTGAAGTGATTACAAATTTTGGATAACAAATTCAGTATTGTACCTCTCCTCAAATCCCTTATGATTTTCTAATGTCTTTTCTTTTTGGATAATAAAATTGTTGTTGAAATGATCAAATTTGTAAAAGCGAATTCACAAAGAGGAGGAAAAGTCTCCATCAACTCCCTTTTAATTCCCCATACTTCAGTTATTCTTAAACTTATTTAGAATAAATTAATAAATGAAGTGATTTCAACCACCTCCCTTCACCTTCGAGTAAGTAAAACAAAGTTAAATCTCAGTCATTTTAAATAAAATACTGTTTAAACATCCAGATAGGTCACATTTGTGTTGATATGATAAACAACTTGTATTTTTCTAGGTCAAGCACATTATGAATGGATTTTCAAGTCTTTGTTCAACCGAGCAGGTTTATATGTTGAAAATTTGAAATTAGATTAAAATGTTCACTTTATTTCTGCCAAGTTTTAAAATGTATTTAAATAGGTAATAAAACATTTATATTTTCACCTTAGTGTGAAATGGAATTTATCTCTGCATTATGAATGTGTTTTCTTGAGATTTCAATACACACATATATATATACATGTCAGACCTTCACAGTAGGTGTGAGATCTTTTTTGTGTACAGTATAAATATTTCATTCTAAATGTTGCCTGATTGGAAGGTTAATGGCATGTTTGACACAGCTACAATTGCTAAATTTCAAAATGTTTATACAATATGTTTGAAGAGTAATTTCAGCTATTAAACTCTTTTCAGTAAAATTATGTCAGAATATTCTTAAAATTTCTGACTTCTTGTTAGAAAATCCTCTTAAATAATATTTTCTCTTTAAAGAATAGTGTATAACATATAGACAGTAGACTTATTGCCAGGACAGTTTGTCAAGGCTTGCATTTTCTTGGAAAGACCTGTTGGTATAAAAGTGAAAACCATTATAGAGCAGGTGTACATTTTCTGTTAACTAGACTAGCTAAAGCTGTTTGTTTTACTGGGTTTTTCATGGGAAATATGAAGGCTGCCAAGTTTACAAAATCTGGACTTTTTTTTTTTGCACTAAATTTGTTCAGAGGTCTACAAACAATGCCATGGCGAAAAGAAAAACAACAAAAAGATGAACAAGTCCACTAAACCCTTCATAAAAAACTAAAGACTGAGCAACTGAAAACCACCTAAAAAAAAAAAGGGGGGGGGGGGGGGGGGGGGGGGGGGGGTGAAAGCAGATTCTCTGGAAAAGTAGGCTGTGATTGTCTTCCAGTTTTATTTGTCTTTTCAAATTATGTTCCAACCTGTATTTAAATTTTACCGTTGGCAAATGCTTGGGCCATAGAAAGCTGACCATATAAGAAAGGGACCTTTGAATTGAGGTTCAAAATGCATAGGTATTCAGAAAACAGTGACTTGACAAGACAGGTGTTTGTTTAATAGAGGTGACCCTTATAGCAGGTTTGACTGTACATGTACTAATGTTATTGACATGAATTGCATGTAGACCGACTTTCTCTTCTGAATTTTACATTCTAAAAAAATCCAGATTTATGAGGGCTTTAAATGATGGGCTGGCCTATTAGCTATTTGTCAAGAGATGTATTGTGACCTTTAGCATGTTTAGAGGTATACATCAGGATGTTTTTCTATTCTTCAATTTTAGGCCTTTAATGGGTTGTTGTCTCACTTGCAATCATGCTGAATAGCTTCATTTTTATACAATGTATTTTGGGGAGGGGGATGTGGGGTTCAGGACTTTCTATCTCATGGTCTTGGTACTTGTAGTTAAAGGCTGGTGGTTACTTTTTATGTTAGCTTGTGCTGGTGGGTAACTGATATATACATGTATCCTATATTTCTAAATATAAACTACTGATTTTTTATACGCCCGTTTACGGGACGTATTATGGTATACCGTTGTCCGTCCGTCCGTCGTCAACATGTCGGACATTAACTCAAAAATGCTTTAACCAATTTGCATAAAACTTTGGTGAATTGTTTATATCTATTGACGTGTGAGCTCCCTTTCGTTTTTTATAAAATTTAGATTTTACGTTTCCGAGTTATGGGGTTTTATTCATTAAAAAAAGGGGGATTTTCCAGTTTTTGGACAATAATTCAAGAATGCTTTCACCAACTTGCAAGAAATTGTAGTGAATTGTTTATATCTATTGACATGAGCTCCCTTTCAATTTTTATAAATTTTAGATTTTACGTTTCCGAGTTACAGGGTTTTATTCATGAAAAAAGGGGGGATTTTCCAGTTTTCGGACAAAAACTCAAAAATGCTTTCAGCAATTCTTATGAAACTTTGGTGAATTGTTTGTATGTATTGATGTAAGCTCCCTTTAGAATTTTATAAATTTTACATTTTACATTTCTGAGTTATGGGGTTTTATTCATTAATAAAGGGGTGATTTTCCAGTTTTCGGACAATAACTCAAAAATGCTGTCACCAATTCTCATGAAACTTTGGTGAATTGTTTATATCTATTGATGTAAGCTCCCTTTTTATTTTCATAAATTTCTAATATGACATTGAGAATTAATTGAACTTTATTTGTTTATAGTCTGACAACAGATTTACTAAGTATTGCGCAACAGCACAGTGTATTGCACAACAGCAAGAAATCTTTAATTGAATATAAATTCAATTCATATAACCAATTTCAAGTTCTTTGACTACATTTATTCAGAAACCTATAATATGTCAAATATTTAATTACAATCCAAATTCGGACCTGAATCAAGCTTGAATATTGTGTCCATTTTTGCCCCAACTGTTCAGGGTTGGACCTCTGCGGGCGTATCTAGCTGCACTCAGCGAAGCAGTTTATTTATTAGTTTTTATTGGCTTTGAACTAGCTGTCAGTAACTACGAGTACTCTCAGATCTGTACTTAATGTCTTCTTATTGTTGGGATGTACAAGTACCCGTTCACGTCAACTATTTTTTTTTATTGTATATCTGTTTGTATCCTTCTGATGAGTTAAGCCTTTTTCAACTGATTTTTATAGTTCATTCTTATGTTGTACTGTGACACCACTGTCCCAGGTTAGGGGAGGGTTGGGATCCCGCTAACATGTTTAACCCCGCCACATTCTGTATGTATGTGCCTGTCCCAAGTCAGGAGCCTGTAATTCAGTGGTTGTCATTTGTTGCTGTGTTACTTATTTGTTTTTCATTGATTTTTTTGTACATTAATTAGGCCGTTGGTTTTTTCTCGTTTGAATTGTTTTACATTTGTGATTTCGGGGCCTTTTATAGCTGACTATGCGGTATTGGCTTTGTTCATTGTTGGAGGCCGTACCGTGACCTATAGCTGTTAATTTCTGTGTCATTTGGTCTCTTCTGGAGAGTTGTCTCATTGGCAATCATACCACATCTTCTTTTTTATATCAATCAAATCTATAAGCCATATGTATATATGACTAGATGAATGCATTGACTGAATCTATGTGAAGTGTGTGTATGACGTACATGTAAATAGACTAAATAGAGTTGAAGATGTTTCTGAAATTACTCAGAATATTAATGAAAAAGAACTTTAATCCTGCAAGGAGTACAAGGTACATTTTAAATGTGGTTGACTGAGAGAGCTTGAGGAATACAAAATCTAAATTACCAACAGGATTTTTTGTGTGGATATAGCTACTTAGTACTACAAAGGTGTGTAATATACATGACAAAACTGACACCTGAGGAGTAGAATTAATTACCATAAATGATTTAAACAGGTATTTACAACATTCACATGTCCACTGGTACAGATTTATTTTTTACAAGGCTGGTAAGGGGAATGCCTTGTATTATTTATAGGGATGTGTAGGTCACATTGTCTCCAGAATGTCCAGCGCTTGTCAAAAGCAGCTGATTATCAAATAAGTTTGTGTATTACCATCAGTTTTAACTTTTATCTTCAGAAAAGAAAATTTACATTACATGATCCATGCACTGAAAATCATTAGTTATAGTTATAAATTTGAGATGTGTAAATATTCGGAGACTATATGTATGGTTTTTTGTCTTTCACGAACTTTGCTACATGTTCCCTTGGTACATGTGTTTTCGTTAGTAAATAAAGGTGCTGTGTTTAGGTAGTATGGAATCTTGTTATTTCAAAGTAGTAAAAACTGTATTTTCAGTATAGTTGAAAAAAGGTTTCAGAAATATTTAGCTTTGTTGGTATGATTTTTCCTTTTTTTCGGACATGATCTAAAATTTGCAAGTACCTTAAAAAGAACCTTTCTCTCTCTCAAACTTAAAACATGTTAAAGGAGTCACTTGCTGAAAAAAAACACACATTGTAATCAGTAAGATAAGTGTATGATTAAAATTTAGGTGTAACAAAACAGTATTAAGAACTTTGGTATGTTAAAAATGATAACTTTTCTTGACCAGAGATACTGTGAACATGAAAAAATGTACAAATCATTGTTTACATTGAACTCAAGATAGGGCTCTCCTGACCTTGGAGTTTTACATTTTGGTAGGATCTACAGGTACTAGCATCTGTTTTGTATATTGTGAGATCTGGTGTATTAAATGGTAAAACAACCTTCGATTGTTTTTTTTTCAAAACATATGGAAAATCCTTAAATGTATACTGGTATATTAATGTTCATCTCTATTAGCGAAGACTAGATATTAGAATCCCAGGTTGAGGAAGATGGGTGATCAGACATTTTTTACTTAGTTTATGATTTTAGTTTTATGAGCAGTCTGAAATTAAAGTATTTTATTTAGGAACATATGTAGGATTCTAAAAAAAACAAAACAAACCTAACAAAAACATAAGTTCTATGTATACATGTATACTGGTGATATTGCTCTGTATGAATTATGATATAGTATAGTACAAAAAGGGTTACCAAAGTATTTCAAATGGCATGAATGTAGACAGGGTAAATTTATGTTTATGTTACAGTTAACACTTATGAGGTCAGTGTTTTTCAAACCTGTATTGACATTCTTATGTTTTCCTTTGCAGTTGACAGTGATTATAAAGAAGAATGAAGATTGTGCATCAAGTCAATTCATAACATATACTGCTCAGACAGGTCATTTACCTGGTTCCTTTTCGTTAGGACAAACACACTATGGTCCCGAAAGAAGTGTGGAAGTAATTGAAAAAGAACCAGGAAAAAGTGTAGTGATTTATTTGCGTTACATTGACACAACAATTAAAGTGCAACAAATTGGACGATATTTTACATTCGCCATAAAAATGCCAGAAGGAGTCTTAAATTCCAGTGAAATAAGTGACAAATTAGAATTATGTGTTCAAGGATGTCCAATTAACGAGAGAATTAATTATAAACAATACTTTTCAGAAGTTCAGCGGACGAACAAACACAGTAAAATGGCACTAAGCAAAGCTTTAAAGATGTGCCGTGACGCTAGTGTTGTCGATTTCTACTTTGATTCATGTGTTTTTGATCTCTTAACAACGGGTGACGAGAACTTTACAGCAGCAGCTTATCAAGCGTGGCAAGACTTGATTGAATTGAACCCAGAACTTCGCCAAACTCAGGATAATCGGACTGAATTACCCATAGTACCGAGTAGTGCTTCTAGCGAGAAGACTAAATTTTGGTATTCTTCAAGGATACTGCTATTATCAGTGCTATTATGTGTGTTGCTATCAATGCCGTCATGATGAACGATGGGATTTGTTGTTATGTTGTTGTTACGTTATTAGATCAGTTTATTTAAGGTGCAAAAGTCTTGATGACACTCCATTATTTAATAACAGTCTTCATTAATTATCAATATGGTAGTTTGGAAATTCACAACTAAATTTGTATCTGACTTATTTCATATAAAAACATGCTAGGACTAATAGATTTACTAATCTATTAGTCCAATATGCATTTCAATAGTATTTATGATCAAACTATATACTCAATATTGATTCCTATTGACTGTAACACTGTGTTTTAAAATACCATTGAAAGTATATTATTTGGTTACCAATCACCAGTGCTTGCAATTGCATTTTTGCCATTTGTTCTGATATTTGATGGTTCTTGAATCTGCTCCTGAGATATCCTAAGGCTAGAATAGACATCTATCAATTAACTTTAACAATGTTAATTCATCAATCATTCAACCTGTTAGAACAGTGGCAAAGAGTTCGAACTTTCATGTTGATATTTAATCAGATAGTAAATTTTCAATGCTGTTTTTAAATGCATTGTAATCTTCACAAGATTTCTGTTGGCTATAAATGTGTCACTTTGACTTTGAATGACTGTGTTGCAGTGCTCTACAAGTTTTGATTTATGTGTAAAAATTTGCATAAGTTGGTGAGTGTAGTTGAGTCTGATGAATGCAGATTGTGTATATTTTATGTGCAATTGTGTGTATCTGTCTGTGAGTGTATGTGTGCTTGTTTTTTTATGCATTATGTTTACTATGAACCATGTATATGAATGAGATGATATTTAGGTTTATTTTGTGTCATTATGTGAACTTTGGACCAATAAAGCCCAGTTGTTGTCAATCAGAACTTTTTTTTCTTTTTGAACATTTGAAAATGGCTTACCATTTATTTCACAAATTTAGTCAATTATTCTAAAAATATTCTCCATAACTGGAAAATTTATTACAATCAATAATGTAGTTGCTTAGGTCATAAAACTTTTTATTTGTTTTGATAATTCAATTAAACGATAATTATGCATCATCTTTTTTCAGTTACATAGCAATGTTTTCTTGATTTTTTTAGGATAAAGGGGGGTGGATAAAAAAAAAACCAGAGTACCTAGGTATTAAAAACAAAAATAAAGCCATAAAACATTGGAAGTGTGTAATTTCAGGTCCCTGGCTTCATTTAATGACACATTATGAACATTTAATTTGTAATAAAATTACAAGTGTAAAATCTGGATATATAACCCTTCCCAAATCTTTTGTCATTCAAGTTTAAAATTCTTGACCTAAGTGATCATAAATTGAAACTCAAATCCTTAATGGTAGTCTGTTAGCTGCTCAAAGGCAATGAATGTGGCCACTGAGAAAAGAAGTCTTTTGTCTTGTTCACACAATACAGAGGGAAAGGGGTGGATATTACTAACATAGTTAACATTCAAATCAGGGTATGAATCGACCAATTTCTTTCTTGGGTTATACATGAGCCTTTTGTCAGTACAATACGATGACCTGTCAAAATTCATCCACTTTTTTTCAGACATATGAATTGTCCACTGTTTCCACACACACAGTTATTTTGACCAGTCAGACTCTCTTTTGTTGACATGTTCGTCAAAATGTGTTTAATTTCACTTATTTCTTCATTAAGAGTTTTAAAAGTATTTCTTTTGTATTACTTTTTTTAAGGTTGACCGCATTTGAAAAGTTCAATTTGCAAAATTTTGTCTGTTGTGATTTGAAAACTGAAAACTTTTGTTGAGTAGATGCATCCAGCTTAGGGCTTAATCCCTATTCATACAAGTTTAGTTGGAAAGTTGAAGTTTACAACTTTTAGAAAGTGTTAAAAGTCAGCTTAGTACAATTTTGTTAAAATTAAGTTTGGTGATCATTGATGGAAGATAATTCTTATGGCTACCTGATAATCAAGAATAGGGGATTAAACTTCTTTCATTTTCAAAATTCTTAATTCTAACATCTTGCAGGTTAAGTAAAAAATCAAATTTTGAGATAAATTTCTTTTTAGCATCCATTTATTAATCTCATCTTAAATTTGTTAGTATTAATGTTGCAATTTACGAAAATAATGGGGAGCAATTTTACAGCTTAATGAACAATTAAGTAGGAAAAAAGTGAAGATTCTTTGTTTGAATGAAACACACATGTTCACCTGGGTGTAGATTTCACTTCTGAAATAGGTTTATGGTTAAAAGCTGAAAGATAAGTTATTTGGGCCTCTCAGAAGGTTTTACTAGCCTTATCTCTACATAATCTTTCTTATGTGCACACCTGCATACAGGCTTTCATATGGGGCTCTGTGAAGGGGAACCATAATTTTATTACTATTTACTGGTGTCACAAAAAGTTCAATGGGTACAAAACAATGTTAAATTCTACTCTTTTAATTTTTACAGTCAAAAATATACACAGTTTACCAAATTGAGAAGGCCTAACATGAATTCTTTTAAAATGTAATTGTTAAAGCATTTGTTTACACAAGTCAAATGCTATATATACATGTACATGTTGAAGTTGATGGAAATGGCCAAATATTTACATTACCCCATAAAATATGGAATAAAATAGAACAGATTTTATTATGTAAACATGTGCCCATTAATGATTTCTGACAGCGCACTTGGGAGCATTGTAAAACTTGAAAACTACAAAGGAGGAAGGCTTATTGAAATTCATGTAAATCGATTCTAAAAAAAATTGGAAGATGTATTATAAATTTTGATTGTTACTGTTTAACATGGTAATGTGTGAAAAATTGATTGAAAGTTAGAGTACAAAGAAAATAATTTGTGACAGCAAAGTTTTGTTTATACAAGGTAAAATACACACAATGAAAAAGCATGTGGATGCTTTCCCTTTTAATTGTGGTACTTTTCTCAGGTTTTTTTTAATGAAAAAAAATTATAATCAAAACTCACAAACTTGCAGTTATAATTATAACATTCAAAGGATCTAGTTTTTATGAAATATTACAGAATAAACAGCATTAATAAACATATTTAATATTAGGAAAATAAATTGTGTGTAGACAAAAACTTTCATGCACTAAATAAAGAATTTCATGTTTGTCATCCCATTGCGAACCTCAAATATTTCTCTTGAAATATTACCCCTTTTTCATGTTAATATACACACAACATTATGACTATAAATCAATTTTTCATATACAAGAAAATGGCCATTAAATGATTATACATGTGCTATTGCTTAAAATGAAATATATCATAAATGTTATCAGAAGTGTTCTTTTTTTCTTTTTGCTAAGGTTGGAAGCTTTAATATAAAGTATAGATATCAGCTGTAATGACTTTTAAAGAGCAACTCCTTGGCTTTCATTTCATGGCAAATGCAGCTTTGTTTTTTATGCTTGCGAATATTTTATCACATTTATGAAAAGGCTTTTAAGGGTAACAAAAACATGTAAAAATACTGAAAATAATTTCCATATTTAATAATACCAACTGTTAAATTAAATGAGACGGAACTCTCAATGAAAGGAGAGAACATTTTGGTAGTTTTTATTTTTTTGTTCAGTGGTTGACTGTAATCATCTGAGGGTGACTGAATCCCTACCTAACGTGAATCATAAAGAAAAAAAGTACTCTTCTTCTGTCGGTTTATTATGAAAACATAAAAACATCTGGAGGGAATATTTACAAAGAACTTGCAAAGAGATTTCCCCTGTTATCAACAACCTAATGCACTCACTCACATTTGATCAGTTTCAAAAAGTTTTCACTTCTCCTTTGAACATTTTATGCTTATGAAACATATGGTTAAAGAGGTAGCTTTCTTTTGAAATATCATAAACAGTTTTTGTTAAAAGGAAAATGACCTCTCCTATTTTGAGAAGTGCCTTCCTTTTTGCTTTTATTGCTTTCATATCATGTATACAATCATTCAGGAGTAATTATTTGAGCCAAGCTATCTGAGCAGAGTATATATAGTCATAAACCAATTTGTTAAAAATATTTTGATAGAGTGCATCTTTAAAGCATGATATATCTAGATTTCATTAGATTTGGCAAATTTTACTGTAATTTACAAGTCAGACACTATAAAGTGAGAAATTTGTTCACATACAGGCTATTATAATTATTTGCATATTGATGTGAAAAAAAATTGAAAGATAAAATATTTTCATGTGTTGAAATTTTGCCATAAAGATGCTTTTAAGGACATAACTTTCAAAAGAAATGGTTAAAATAGAAGATCAAGGATTGAATTTGGGACTTATTCATTGATAAAATTGTTTGAACAGTGAACTTCCCTTTGTTGGGACCCCAGGTAAAAATCTTGGCAATAAACAAAATGTGGAGAAAGGTTAGCCTTGTTATCATGTTAAATGTTTAGATATCAACTTGAAGCTAGAGATTTGAGGCCTTTGGCTATAGAAATTTAAAACCATCTTAATCCTCACTAAAAGCAATTTTAAATTGAACTTTCTGACAGGAGATTGTCATGTGAGGAAAACTTGATACATGGATTTCTAATGGGGAACCCAGAAGGCATAAAAAGGGGAGTAGGCGGACTCTACATGGATTTCTAATGGGGAACCCAGAAGGTATAAAAAGGGGAGTAGGCTGACTCATCATAACTTGCAAAAGTATCTAAAAGTATCAACATAAAAAATTTAAATAATGTTGATCTTTGTTTTACATGAATGTAAACATTAGATGATAAATGCCCCAGTTCATAATTAATATACCGTAACATACATTCTGTAGGTTGAATGTAATCTCTCAAATTAATATTCATCCTTAGATCCCTTAATCAGGAAATAAACATCACATTCATATGACTTTTGGACTTTGTAAAAGTGGCCACATTCATTGTTTTTATCAGAAGTGTTTTTTTTTAAATGACTGTACAATATTATAACACAGAGGGTGGTAAGAACGGATCGATTAGATTTTACATAGATTTTTTGTTTAATTTCCTAATACATGTAATATTGCAAGTAGCATTGTAATTTTAACAAAATTGTATCAGAATTTAAATTTTCTCAAATATGAATTTAAAATTTAAACATTCATGGTAAGCAATTTGTCAATATTGTGTTCATCAAAGCAGTGAAGATTTTTTGTTTGTAAATGGGTATTCAGATTTAAACCCTTTAAAAGTTTAGTAAAACATATCTTTTAAATTGCACTGAAATACCTTAGATAACAAAGACTTCTTTTATTTATTTTTTTGGTTTTCAATATTATCTATAGTGTACTTCAAATTTCTGTCAACTTTTGGGACTATTTTGTTTATCCAAGAAAAAATAATTTATGCTACATGTACATGTTAATACAGCAATACTAATTCTGTCCATAAGGTCACATGATAAATTTTGTCCATAAGGTCACAGAGTTATCTACCTCATCTGTATACAGTATTTGTGTGGTAGCATTTTATGTTATAATGGCTTTAATACAAACTGATTTTGACAGAGATTTTGTGAGAACGGTTTTAAAGCATCCAGTGAAATATTATTATTGAAATAAAAAATATTTAAAAATTTAGAATTTGTTTTGTGATATCCATCTGTTCAATTCTTATCTTTACAAGTCTCACCCATGTATATCTGGTTTTTATGTTCACAGTTATTGTAATGCCCCACAACAAAATGTTTTTGGGGTAAATAATTTTACCCAAGTCTCTGTTCGAATGGTTTGTCCAGGAAACTCCTCCTACAGTTTTCAATCAAAAACTTTTATATTGTGTAAGGTACTTGTACATATACTAAAGGTGTGCATATTCTCAGGATTTTGATTTTTTTTTTAAATTGTCCACGAATGACAGGGAGAAGGCAGAGATAGTATATCTTAAGAGAGAACTAATACTCGGGAGAAGACAGATAGTATATTGTAAGAGAGAACTTATACTGGGGAGCAACAGATAGCATTATTTTATCATAAGAGAGAACTTATACAGGGGAGAAGACAGATAGTATATCTTAAGAAAGAACTTATATTAGGGAGAAGACAGATATTACATCTTACGAGAGGACTTATACTGGGGAGAAGGCAAATAGTATATCTTAAGAGAGAACTTATACAGTGGAGAAGTTAGAGATAGTATATCTTAAGAGAGAACTTATACAGGGGAGAAGTTAGAGATAGTATATCTTAAGAGAGAACTTATGTATACAGGGGAGAAGAAGGTGTGGGAGAACATTTCGAATAATTTTTTAATCAAGAGTCACTGATGAGTCTATTCTAGAAAAAACGTGCGTTGGGCTACACAGTTTTAAGCCTGGTATCTATGATGAGTTTATTTCCAAGATACATTAATTGGGAAAAACTCAATTTATAGCAAATAGCACTTAACATTGAGATTTTCTCAATCTGAATACCGGTACCATGAAACGCTTGCCACTGGACCTTAGGCAAATAACAATAAATTTGAAATATATTCTGTATCTTGATAGTATAAACTATATTGTTTGTACATCATTACACTTATATATATGTTAATGGAGTAAGTGAAAAGTCAAAAATCTATTTAGTAAGTACAGTATTATCATGATCAAAGCAGAGTTTTTCTGCTGCAATCATAAGTTTTGCTGAATTTTGGTAATATCAAACGTTCTTTTTGAGGAGTGGAGAGTTCAGGGTGAGCAACAGAGACACATTTTGTACTCGGAGTACTGAGTCCAGTTTTATGACTGAAAGACCAGGACATGTTATACTTTAAAAAAAATCTTTCAACAATATACTTCTATCGTAGAATAGTATATATATTGGTGGTAAATCTTTTAAACGACTGCAGTGGGTCGTAAACATAAGCTCCTCTTGAGGTAACTAGTTATACAAAGAGAGTGAAAGCAGGAAAAATAATTGTTATTGGATTTCTATATTCATCGAAGACAGAACCATGATAAAATGGTAATATTTCTACATTAGATCATGTCGTGATCAACGTTTTCAGATCTTTGTGAATAAAAGATATCTCTAGAAAGCAATCAAAATTATACAGAATGTTATTCATATGAAAATAATGGTCCGAATATTGCAGATGTCTGAAAGGTTAATAACAGGATGGTCCAGTTATTTTGTAGTTTCGTAAGTAAATGTGTTCTATAGAATTATTTATTTTCTTAGTACTAATGTACATTTTTACCACCCTTGTGGGTATCACAGAACACAAACAAACAGAGTCGATGCAAAAACGTAAACAGATGAGTATGACGCATTTTATTATTTTATTGAGCAACATGCAAAATCCTACAAAATAATGAGCTAAACCCACAGATTATTATATCGATATACGAAAATAGGTGTTGTTTGACGCATTTTATTATTTTATTGAGCAACATGCAAAAACCTTCAAAATAATGAGCAAAACCCACAGATTATTATATCGATATACAAAAATAGGTGTTGTTTGACGCATTTTGTTATTTTATTGAGCAACACGCAAAAACCTTCAAAATAATGAGCAAAACCCATACCGTATGTAGACCCCGGCATGACAAAATGTGAAACAATTTAAAAGAGAGAACCAACGTCCTTATTTATTGATTGATTGATTGTTGGTTGCTTGCTTAACATCTCGTCCTGATTTATTCTAAAAACAAACTGACTGGCAACAACTAATCTTTAGTTGTGACATTGAATGGTATATTCTCTAGTTGTGGTGATATTAAATGCTCCAATCTCTAGTTCTAGTGACATGAATCCTCTAATCTCTGGTTGTGGTGACATTGAATGCTCTAAACTCTAGTTGGTGATGTATCTGTGTGTTCGTTTTGATACACTTGTTATAGATAAAACATTAGTTCATTTGAATTCTCTGAATTTTTGGACGAGTTTTATAAACGTTTTTGTCAACTTAAAACTACTCAACAGACAAGCTCCAAGTTAAAAATGAAAGGCCGTCTGTTTTGGACAATTATAGAATAGGAATACATATACGTTGCCTTGTTTTCGAAATTATTAATAGTTACTTTTTGACATTATCATCAACCAGGGTCCTTTAGATTTTCGTCTACCTTAATAAACGTAGCGAAATTAAAAAAGATCCAATATACCAGGGGAAAGTAAAGCATGCAAAATCAAAGAAAAATTGACAACATCATCCTAAACATCTGTGAAATTGAGTTCGCTATACCAAAGACATATACCGTAATACATGTTTCTGACTATATATAGTAAGAAGAGAACGTCTGTTCGTATTTTTATAATAAAGAGCTATTGACAAACACATTGTTAAACAGAAGTTGTTGGTTTTTTTTTTATTAAAATTTAGACTGCTGTAATGACAAAAAAATGAAAAAAAGAAAGAAAGAAACGTACACAAAAGTGATCAGGGAGACAAATTGCGTCTTACCATTTGAAGCTTTACAACAGCGCCGTGTTTATGGATATAGTGCGAATTGTCATTAGGGCAAAATGAAAGTCTTGCCCTGAGTTGCAGAATAAATTGGGTTATCATAGTACTTAAAGAATACATCTTACCAAGGAATTATTTTGCCTTTATTACTTAACAAATAAGAAATTTTACTAGAAGATGTATTTATACAAATTAAATCAAGTAAAGGGAGGGGATGTATTTATACAAACTAAATCAAGTAAAGGGAGGGTTTGCATTCAGGATCCTACCCGTGAAAAACGAAATTGCATCAGGCATAAATATCACTAAATTGCAACGAAAACGCTGTGCTGTGGACGACAATCTAGATTGTTTATTGTTATTAAAGAATTGAAGAGTGTATGCAGTTATTCACCATGGTTCTGATCTCTTCCAAGAAAATAATATTGTCGTGACGGTCACATCTGAGTAAAAGATGTTTAAGTATGATATACAAACCAATAATACCATTGCTGGTGAACTGTTAGTTCGCATAAGTATCCATGACCAACCCAGTACCTCACTACTTCTGTACTGGCATGTAAATACAGATATAGTTTTATTGAAATTTGCCGTTATAAAACTTAAGAAATCATTTTAAATTCAGGAATTTATCGCAATTTTGCATAGCTCCGATTCCTTGTCCGAATTTGGCATCGATTTTGGTCCTATCCGGTTAATCCACCTCTTCAACTTTTGTATTAAGTATTGGATTTTCACATTTTATTTGACTCGAGAACCACGTAGGAGACATAAGCTGTCGAAGTGCGCATCTGGTGCTGTAAAATTTGTCCCCTTAAATTTATTGTGCTGCATTTGCACGCTTGTGAACGAAATACATAAAAGTGACCGTTTATCATTTATCATAGTTTCGCAATAACTATGGTATAATATACATTTTAAAATAACACATTAAGCGATAAATTTGATTAATAACTGGAATATTTATATACATAAATATATAGAAATCGCATATTTCATGACTTTGGAGTAGTCACCTTCAGATGTTTTTGGCGCCATTTTCGTCTATTGAAAACACAAAAAAATAATTACAAACTGAAGATTTATTCAGAAGCAATTTATCTTAAAATCAAACGAAATCAAAGTTTGGTAAAAGTAAATTCTAAGTGGTACTTAATGCTCATTAAAACTACAAAGTCTACACAGTTTTATAAGGGTACGGTTCCATATTTATTTACTTCAACTTTCTACAAACGTTAGTACCTCCTATCCGACACAGTGGCGCTTTAAAGGACATATGACAATCTTGATATATTTACTGTGCGAATTTGATATTCAATTCTGACAAATTCTCGATTTAAACTAGAATTTAAAAAGGCTTTTAACATTCTAAAGTTTCATGACGTAGTCTTCTTTACACCTTAAGTTGTTCAACGAAAATGCTTTTATTAGTAAACAAGCAGTACAAGACGAAAATAATAGTTTTCGCAACAGAGTGTAAACTTCTCATTTTCCCTGTTTAATGCACATAAGGTTATTGTACAACATAAAAAAATGTTCCATTTAAATTAACTTATATCAAAACAATTAAAATATACAATTTCATCATGTTCACAAGCCGTACACCCAAATACTTTATTTCAAAATAAACATTTGAGAAATGATTTTGAACAATGCAGTTCTTGGGCCTTTTACAATTTTATCCCCATCGTAGATTTGACAAAAACCATTTACAAAGCTGACTCTTAGGTGCTTAGGTTGAAAACCAGCGACCCGAGAAGCTAGAACATAAAACTTTATAGTTTTCAGCACGACTTAACACACGCAAGATTTTATAAGTGGAAAGGGTACATTTCAAACGTTGTTCCATTGTTCGTTGCAATCTGAACCACATAATGATATCAAACGCCGTCCAATTTAAAAAGCTTCAAATCCGAGATAAAACAACGAATCATTAAAAATCAATCCGGCGATTTTTATCATAATAGTTAGTTTATGCTATGTTTGAGGGAATAAAACTAAATTATATCTTTGTAACATATCCTGAAAAAAAAGTAATATAAAAAGCATTATATTACATAGTACAATCCATAATAACGCACCATAAAAGAGAAAAGTCACTTTGCAAATAAATAAAAAGTAGGTAACAGAAATAACAAAAATACTTAGATGCAGTATGCTAATGGATTTCTGTATACTTTGATAAGAATACACGGAAGTAAGCAGTATCATGTACTATACATACAAAATATATATCTAGCTGATTGATTGATTGATTGGTGTTTAACGCCACTTTCAACACTATTGTGCTATTTCGTGGCGGTCAGTTTTTATTGGTGAAGGAAGCTGGAGTGCCCGGAGAGAACCACCGACTTTCGCTAGGAAAACTGACAATCCTAGTCAATTAAGATTGGAGTCGAGTGCACCTGCCCCTTGCGGGATTCGAACTCACAACCCCAGTGTTGACTGGCTACTTAGACCACTCGGCCACCGATGCCCCTACATCTAGCTGATACATAATGAACAAAAATTTGGCCTTAACAGGGTCCTTCCTGGTCACTTTTCCTGGATCCGCCTTTGCGGGCCTTTTATAACTTACTATGTTGTATTGATTTTGCTTATTTTTGAATACACTAAAAAAATAAAATGCTGTATAGTTGTTCACACCCTTTTCATTTAGTCTTTTTCGTTGTCTCATTTGCAATATCCACATCTTATTTTTCATATTAGTTAAACTATTAAGAAAGGCTGGTTCGTTAGTGTTGCTACTGGCATAATTCGGCATAGAATCGACTTTTTAAATATGTAATTCCTGTAATCGTGCAGAATTCGTCTCATTGATGATGAAGCTTCGGTGTGACATAAAAAAATCGAGCATACGAACGACATGTTTGTAATATTTGTAAAAAAAGGCATTAAACCATTAGAGAGCTACGAATCAGCTATTTCCCGTCCTAGTTCTGAACAAAAATCTGGAGGTTCACGGCAACGGCAATTACATGAAATCAACAACGGTCTAGTCATCTCTTCTCCGATTTAAATTTTTTTCCGGGTACCTGTACTTTTAATGAGGAACAACTTTTCTTTACCATCGATCAGTTATATGTCACATGCAAGGTGAAATGTTTTACACCTAAAGATGTATGTCATACGTCAACTATGTGTCAGTCTGTATTATATATATCTTATTTCATCTGCACAACAACTTGTAAATATTATCTCAGTTTTATACTAATGCAGTCAAATATATTAACTGAGATTCTCCAAATACGGGTCACGCCCCAATAGCATTTTGCTTAACGTTCAATGGTAAATAGTTCATGGATATTTATGACGGAAGAGCTAAACACAAATTCTGCAAAATAGGACCGGCATATAGAACAGGCAATTTTAGCGCAACAACCCTGCAAACACTTGGCATGGTTTTATAGTAACTATTTTGGCTTGTATTTATACGCCCAATACAGCCAACTAAGTACAGAGTCTTACTGTCTAACACGCTTACGTATACTATGGTATAGAGTCATATAAGTATATGAGTCAAACAGGGTCAAGTAGACAAAGAGGCTTACTTCTTTAACGTGCAGAGAACCGAGCGTGGCATTCCTCCTACATCGGATTTTCTAACTCATGTCTAACCGGACGTGCCTGCGTATTTATACATCCCCCGCACAGCCAAACGGACGCCCCTCTCTACTTGGGTTTTACTGCCAGATCAAAGTCAGGGTGAACCAAAATATTTGAAAATGTTTGGGCCTGCTACGTTGGAAGACCAAAATTCACTCTTACAAGTAGCAATTACCGATTTTTACTTCTTAAAATCGATTATCATGAACAAAATATATATTACATGGAAACAATTGTGTCGGTG